TAAACTCCTTCAGCTCGAGGAGCCCGTAGCGCTGGCCTGTGAGGCGTCCCACGGGGCACCATTACGCGACCACCACACGGGTCAGGACAGTGACCTTTACATGCTAAGATCTCGCACCGAGATACTCTTGTCATGCGGTGCGGCGTTTCAAAGCGCTCTCACGTGACGCTTCCAGACTCCTCTGGCCCCTGTTTGGCCATCACCTAAAAGGGGCCAACGGTCACCCGTCGCCAAGCAGGGGTCACCCTTCACACGTTGCGCCTGCCGGTTGACGGGTCAGATCGAGTTGGTGAGTTACGTTTCACTGTGTGCGCGAGCAGGCTTGTGCATGCCATGCCAGTTTCAGGTGTCTTGTCTGTTATTGACTTCCTACCTTTAACGTTATCCGAGGTGTGCTGTTTGATCGTGTCGATTAAAGTCGTACAGCCCTAAGCCGGTTGTTGAGGACCTTCACTTTTGCATGTATGTATGTGTATTTGCTGGGTATATTATAAAAACGCTTGTCGGTGTCTGTGCTGTCAAAAATGACGCGATAGTTATGCAGGCTCAGTGATTACGTACCGTTGCATTGTGTCTAAAATCTTGTTCATGGATGGCTTACCTCCCCACAATCACAAAAATTAAGAGCACAATATTCCGCATATAGCCGGGACTTCCAATCACGTATCAATAGACATTTTCCGAACAATATGTGTACATTTTCAAGGGGACGGTCAAAAAGGGAGACCATAGCGTACAAATACGTGGAGAACACCACGCATATCACGTCACGCCACAGGGCAGAATGGCTGCGACCTTTCATAGAAGTGATTCCCTCAAACAACTAAATCTGTCGCATCAAGCGCTAAGCTTTGCATGTCTTTGCACGTGTATCGCTAACTTTTTATTTTCACTGACGTCATTACATACGATATTCGTCAAAACGATCAACTGTTCGGATCACTGACACGTCCCGCCGGTGACTACGTTGTGATGAATATAGAAATTGTCCAGGGGTGAACCCTAGATTTTCCCAAGGCCAAATGTAAAACAAAACAAAAACATTCCGCTGTCCGTGTCCAAGCAGTCATGTTTATTGCTAAAATGATCAATATACATAACTTCAAAGAAAAACGAAACTGACTGCTCAAAGCATGTTAGGTTGTCATTATAGTATCGAAGAGAAAATCGGGCAAAAGCTATTTCATTATCGCAGGGCTGTCGGCCGATCCATATTCTGTCATCCAAATCCCATTTATCACAAGCACGATGTAACAGCTGAATCGAGATATGATGCGACGGTATCTATTGCCTCTTTGACGCTGGCTCACCTCCATAATGCGACGCGACGCTATCGTACAACCCATCGCACATTTCGTTAGCGGGAGGAGGTCATCTAATGCCTCACATTCCAGGCGTTTCGCAATACCAGACACGAACATTCATCTATCGGAAGGGCTCAGAATTCCATGTATTGTATCGCTTGGTCTCAGCTGTTTCCCGTACTGAAACTACCAGATAATTCGACTGACCTGTGGAAATATCTTTTTAAACGAACAAAACACCATGCGGTTCCGAATGGTCGAAATCATGGAGCCTGACGAGCCATGTAAGAAGGCACTGCAAACAGTAAAACATGCTCAAAGGCCTGGGCGGTTTGCCATATCCGCCCCTTTGGCAGTGTTTAAAGCACGTAAGGTGCCCAGAAGCGAAATATATCATCATTATCGCCTACGGCCTGGTCCGCAAACATCGTTGTCCAATCGCATGGAAGCGGAGTAGTAATACACGCGAACTCAAAGGTACGTTCGCATCCAAACATGCTAACCAAGTCCTCGATAAAAGCCAGACCAGTGAAACTTTACATACAGGCAAATCAGGCCTTAAACGCCAGAGCAAAGCTAAGCAAGGGGCATTTCTCGTCACCTGATATACACCCCGCCACGGGCGCAAAGCTAGTTTCGTTGTAATTTTATGAAGACCTGCAGATAAGGTCATCCGACCTCTCCTAAAACTGACGAACATATTGTATGTTACCACAATGGATAGTTCGTATAACCACGTAGCTTCAGCGCCTTAGTGTACCGAGGCAGCCATTTCGAACATAGAAAGGGCGCTTTGGTTGACAAGCACGCGATCAGGGGACTACGTAAAAGGGCGTTAAAATGTGACTTAGACATACAGTTTCGGAGCACGAAAAGCTGCAAAAAAATGATGACACTCAGAGCCGGGGCTTTGTCCATAGTAATCGGTCGTTCCATCGTTTCATCGTTTATCGATGCGCGAATCATCGACGGGTTCACGCAAATGGCGGAGTAGGCAAACGCAGACATTTGTTGAGCAGTTTATATGTTCAGTGCATTGAATATTGCATGTACAGGTGTCGAAAAATATATGTGTATATATGTATATATATATACATAATACAGCCCATATGCACATTATTTCCTAAGCACTGCCACAGAATCCAATCGAACGAGACCTATTGCGGACCTGTGGCACACTGTGTTGTGTCGGAATCGGAGTCAACTCGAAAGCTGCGCTGACCTGCTCTGGCGCAGGGTCGAAATCAACTGCGTGCGCCGCGAGTCCGACCCGAAACCGACTCCGCTGTGACGGAATCGAGCACAAGTCTGCATGAGAACACGCTTATCATTTCGTTTCAATTTGAAATGGACTGGCGACTATGAATATTTTAGGCTGCCAGCAAGGGCAAAATTTTACTTAATAAAAATATTTTACTTAAATAAAAATAGCAAATTGTCATCGTTTTGCACCGGTGCAGAGTGCTGTCTTTGAGAATCCAGTTCTCCATCCTATCTCTTAACCACAGAGACATCCACGGGAGATTCAGCGATAAAATTAATAAGATCTTGACAGCAGGCAAACTTGATGTTTCTTGATCGCACCTGCCCCGTCGTATTAAAAATACGCTTCTTTGCAGACGTCACTAGATGGTAAACGCGACCAATTAAGGGAGTATCTCAACGTAACGTTGGTTCAGTTCAGTTGCATTGAGCCCTTTGTCGTGCCCCTAGGCACCTTAGAATGTTTTAGCCGCGCAAATAAGTAATGCAGTTGACGCGCCCTAAGAGCTCAGTAGCTCACCAACGAACTAGAATGTTTGAACGTCTGGAACACTCCCACGCCATGTCATATCATGCAAACTACTTACGTTTTAAGTTGCATGCCAATATGTTCTGCAGCAAAGGAAGTCACAAATCCGTTCTCGGCAGAAACCCCCTCCCATCTGGCTCCCCTCAAGGAGATTTCCATCGACGGTATCTGAATACCACAGACAGCTCCTGTTGGGAGAACCAACGTCCATCCCCTCCCAGTCTCCTTCGTGGTAAAGCGACAGCCCACTGTCGGCGGACGTGAATAAGTCACCGCCCAGATTTAGCATCCAGGACGAGATCGCAGGCATTGGAAAGCATTACAGGCGACTGCGGACGTAAGCAGCGTTCGGGTCACTGGGTTCGGTACATCACCAAACTTCGGGAGGTGGGCGGATTTCTGCTTCACTGCAAACATATGACCTAACCTAGCATGGCTTGCATTGACTAGTACTTGTATCGTAGGCGGAGCAGTGGATCCAGCGGCATTCAGTGTGTATTGACAGTGCTGCAGACGACGCAGATTGCTCCGCTTGCCGGCACGTGGAGTACGGCAGCATGGTTAGCACGACACTATGCCGCACGATCTTGCTCAACGCAAATGATTCTCTCCGCATTCCATTCGGCACTCCCCTCGTTCATTTTCTGTTTTGGGGAGGGTTTGGAGCAAGGCAGAGCACCTCCGGCTCCATGTATCGAGAACTCTGGCATTATACCCGAAGTTGTTCAGAAACTATGGATCTAGGCCCCTTCATCATTTCACTTCGTAATTTGATTGTGTTGCTTGCAAAGCTTCCTCCAAGCAACACAACTTGTATGCGCCCTGATTCACGTCGCTAACGAGCTGAGGTAGCTACCAGCTGCCTTCGATGTCATATCAAGATGTCGGTTTGCGCTTTGTCCACAACATTGACTTCCAAAATTTTCAAACACGATAGTTTTGCACATGGCATAGCAAACGAGAGATATTCTGGATTGGCCATCATCACCCCACTTTCGACGAAGGCTCAAGACTAAGCCCGTGATGATGCACGGGGTCAAATCAAAATTCATTTCGACCCATGCACGTTTAAGGGACGTTCCTCTGCCCCCGGTACGAGCAAACCAAAGATCTGGGCAAGACAAAGTAACTACCACCTGTGGCGTAACCAGGATTTTGCCAAGGTGACGAAATTGGGTCGAAGAGGGTCCTTCCTGCCATACGGGACCTCTCGTCACCTTCGATCGTGTTGTTTCATCCGGGGACGTGCGTAGGCTCTAGATCCCATTTTGCTGCCGCGGTGGGTCGTTTTTATATCTTATGATGTCTACGGCTGTCCTGAATCGCCAAGAAGCATCGACGCCTTCGGGCCCAGGTGGAGTCCCACCACTTCCCAGGAGCAGGGGGCATAGTCCCGAAAGCCCCCCACCCCCCCCCTGACCTCTCCTGCCATCGGCGGGATGGGGCCGGCTTCAAAAGGTCGAGCGAAGTCCCCGCGCAGGCTACGCCTCCCAACACGCAAAAACGGCACATCCCAACTCCCACAACAGCCCTCACAGTATGTACTCACGTTTGCAGGGCTTGGGGTTGCTCTGTTTCGACGCGACATCCCTGGTGATAAGAGCGCGCGCGCGGCGCCCTCCCCTACACACTATTATCGGACGACTATCCCGCCCGGCTCGGCTTCAGTATCGCAATGTTTATCTCCCTCAGATCACTGACGTCACAGGGTTAAGCTGTTTGCCGTGACGTCATCGTCGTCAGCTGCCTATTGTGTCGACAAAAAATGGCGCGGCTGGGCTTTACTCCTAACGCCAATGAATACAGGCCCGTAATAGCGGTTTTATGGGTCACGTCTTGTTGATATTGAGCGTTGTGGGTGTATTCTTGTGCGCCCTCCGTTCCTATGTTTGAGGATGTGTTTACTTAGGTCGGAGTCGGAGTGAAACCGAGATCAACCAAATTTCATCGAGTCAGGAATCAAGCGATTCATTTCAAACTGTCTGGTGAGTCCGAATAAATTTGGTTAACAAGTCGTCGGTGAGTGGTTCAACCATAAATGTGGGCATTTGTATGCTCATTCTAACCATTTTATGTCCACTTAATGGAGCACAGCTGTAAAGAGTCATTTTTTTTATTCGAGCATGGTCATCGCACAAACCAATGAAGCATTGATTCTATTGCCCTCAAACACTGCAGATCAGTCTGCAGAAAAAAACATGGCTACTGTGCCAGGTGTGTGCACAGCACTGGTGCACTGAACCTCACACTTTTGTCTTTCAGGCTTAGGCAGTGCCAAATTGTGCTGAATTTTGAAATTATTTGCACATCAACATTTTTGTAGCATTTTTGTCTGAAGTTATATCCTCAGCATCTTAATTCCATGAAACATTCACTCTGTTTATGCTGAATGGTGGTGGGTTGTTTACCAAATTCTGAGTTCCAAATCATGGTAACATGAAGTTTATTGTAGTCTACACTATAGACTGCCATGTTGTAGACAGCTTGTGATGCTCTGATACTCTGATGTACAGATGCCCTATAAGACTGAGAAAGTCATGAAATTGATCATTATCAAGTAATTCAATTTTCTCCAGAACTGGCTCCATTATAATTGATTCACAAATTGAGCCATATTTGCTTATGTTGTAAATTATTTTGACATAAAGTTGGTTTTAAACTGCTCTGAGTGAACTGCAGAGAATCAGCTCAGTGTTGTGCATTAGAATTGATTTGACTCCCCTGTAGCAGACCAGCTATGCCTCAAGTAATCTCCTTATCAACACAAAAGCTTGGCTGCTCTACATGTTCAAATGGAATTTTAATGAAAAATAATGAAATTTATATTATTTGTAGCAGCACCAACAGTGCCTGCTAGCTTCCTAGCACTTAACTAGATGTACAGCAGTTGCACACTTCTTTTTTGCTGATCATGTGTCAGTTTAGTTGATGGTTTTCTACACATTTGTGTGTACTTAGAATGATGTTCTGACAATTGTGATCACCATGTGTTTGTCACACCAAAGGGTTTTGTTGGTGTGCTGGACAGTAAGCTGAGATGAGGTGTGTGATTTGGGAACACACAAAAGAGAACACATGCTCATTGCATCTGTTTACATGTGCCATGCTATGATTGAAGTTGTGAAAGACACACTTTGCTCGCAAGTTTTTACACCAGGAACAGTGAGGCAAAGTCAAATCCATCTCTAACACAAATGCAAGTTGTTCAATCCTGGAGTAAAGTGAAGTGTTTTTTAGAATGCCACTGTCACCACATGAGTGAAGAAGAGAAACAAGCGCATGGAATGAAACTTTGGTTTTGTAACTGAGGCAGTATGTAATGGTAAAGTAGCTTTAAAGTTTTTGTGGTCAAGTGGAATGGTGGAAGTGGACATACTGTGTTATGAAGACCATCTGATTTGTGGGCAAATTCAGGACACAAGAATTTGATTTTTTAGGATGAGTAATGTTTTGGTTATGCTAGAACTTAGTCAAGGTTTGAAAATTTTAGGGTATTTAAGGTATTGTAATTAGCCAGAAGCATATTTGTACCTACGCTTGATACTTGCATATATAATTGCCAGATTAACTTTGCTGCTTGTATAGTATGAGTTATAGCCATTGGTCACAACTCCCAACTACAATCAGAACCACCTGATCTCATATAGCCTGATTTTAGTTGCACATTCAGAGTACAAAATGTGAACAGTAATAAAACACATATGTAGGTGCATGTTCATTGAAAAAGGTGAAAACAGCACATATGCCTAAAAGTAGAATAGGTTATTTTTAGTTTATTGTTGAAGGGTTTACCTGATAGGTGGGATATTCCACAGAATCGTGCAGGCATGTGTTGTGTGTCTGGTGTTACACCCTTACCGGTATAGGTGGCATGTGTCGGTGTTACAACCTTACTTGTATAGGTGGCATGTGTCAGCACTTGCTCAAATGATAGCTTGATGCATTTCTGTTCCAGTGATGGCTGAAGAGGAGCTGGAGGCTGACTATATTTTAGCTGTGCCTGAGGAAAATCTGCACTCAGATACTCTTGGTAAGATGTTTAAGGATGTTTCCACATTGCTTAACTTCTAATATTGCTATCTAGTTCTGCAGTGATGTACACATTTCATATTATCAATTATTTGTGATGTACTAACCTAAAAAAACTTGTGCTGTTATTGTGTGCTTTGGGCACCAAACAAAGAGTTTACAGGTGGCATACATGAATGAATGAATGAATGAATAGTTATTTGATATTTGAATATTGAATATTTGAATATTTGATGAATGAATGAATATTTGATAATTTGGTCATGACCTGTCAAAACAGACAACATGAACAAAACTGTGGTGTGAATTGGGAAACATACAAATATACCCAGGAAAGAATGATTGGCTTAAGTGCTGGCACCTCACAGGGTGTTTATGTGATATGTTCACTTCAACAGTTGCTTACGTCATGCGCACAGTATCTTCCTGGTTGGATTGACATGTCTGTCTCATGTTTTAGTGTCCAACACAATCACCTTGGATGAAGAGGACATATTCCAGTGTGGCAGGTGTCGAACTCAGTTCTCTGCTCTGACAGACTTTGTGGTCCACAAACAGGAAGAATGTGGAGGTAAATGCTTGGCTGCGCTGACCTGGATTTGACACACAACTTCCACTCTTCAATTGAAAGTGTCACCATACATGTCATAGTCCAGTGTTAATCATGTGACATTCATGCCATAATGTAATCATGCCTGTGTTGCGACTCAAGCAACATCACTGCTCCTGTATTCAGTCAGTTTTGATTGTACACAAGACGATGTAACGAGTTCAATTTTGTGTTCT